TTTATTGTGAATTGAGTGATATGGGAGAATATCGGTTTTACACTCATTGTTTCATTGCAATGACTACAATCCCCTCCGTGCATCATTATTTAACAGTATGTGCTTCTATTCCCTCTGTTGTTGTTGTTTGGGGGGGGGGGTGTACACCTAAAAACTCAGGAATATATAATCATTTAAACAACCAAAAGGCACATTCTGCAAGCATGCCTTCTGGTTGCCAGCACACAGTCTTTCTCTTTCCATGAGTTTAGACACAGTCTTTCTCTTTCCATGAGTTTAGAGTCCTAAGCTGCTCTATCTCTCCATGTCATCATCTCTGCCTCCATCTCTGGTGTCTCTGCTTCTGTGAACAGGGTTCCACATTCCACTCATGCTCTACTCCTTTGATGTTCCTAGGGTCCTCTGTTCCTGAAATGTCAGAATAACTACTTCCCCCCTTTATGTTGCAAAACTTCTACCTTTACAGTTGTAACGATCACAGTTAGACGTAACAACTACTCACTATTGAATCATAAAAATCTTATCCCCATCTCCTTTCACCAGACCTGTCTAAAGAAGATTGAAAGCTACTCAGTGGGGCATCTACCTTTCTCCCACCCCCACCCCCTTGCACACTGAAACTAAACTCCTTCTTGAAAACTTGTAAGCCAGTCACTTCATGGCTTTATGTTGTTGTTGTTATGTGCCGTGGAGTAGGTTCCGACTCATGGCTACCCTGTACGGGGTTTCTGAGGCTGTAAATCTTTACAGGAGCAGAAAGCCTCATCTTTCTCCCACGGAACAGCTGGTAGTTTCGAACTACTGACCTTGTGGTTTGCAGCCCGATTCAAAGCCACTACGCTGCCAGAGCGCCTGAAGGCTCCTTCGTGCCTTTATAGGCTCCCTATTTTAGGTAGCCAGTACCTAAGTTGCCCATCTCTATCACCCCTGCATACAGAGGAGGTAGGATGAAGACTTCTTCCCTCTCCGTATTTTGAGCCACTACATTCTTAAGTATAGGTCAAGTTCCTTAAATTGTAGCAATTTACACTTGTTTCCTTTATCAAATTTTTATCTTCTTTTAGTTGAGTTGTGATATTCAAGCCATCGAAGCTAGGTCAAATGGGTTTGTTGTTATGTGCCATTGAGTCAGTTCCAACCCATAGCGACCCTGTATAGCGTTTCCAAGGAGAAGCTGATGAGCTTGAACCACCAACCTTGCAGTTCAAATGGCTTTGCAGTCTGGAGCATTAACCCACAGCACCACACCAGGACTTCAGGTCAAATGGGTACCATCTGCAAATTTTGGTGTTCTTGTGTGTCTCCCCTCACTTCATATCAGCTGGACACTCCACTCTCAGCTGTAGCCCTCCATGGCTATATCCTTGTCCATGGACTCAGGAGACCCCAGGTCTCACCATACTTCAGATCAACCAGCCCTTTCTCTTCTCACTTTTATGTCCTGGTTGACGAGAATCTATGGAACGTGGTTGGACTCAGTACATATCTTCATTGCTGCCCTTTCCCCACTTCCACTCACCAGTAGACCAACATGGTCATCAGCAAGCTTACATGGCTGCTCGTGTGTTCCCTTTGAGTTTCAGTCTTGGAGGGGGATTGCCCTGAAGGGACTTGATTGCTTGCCTAATGGCTTTCCAGCAAACAACTTGCTTGTCCTAGTAGTAGCCATTCAGACTGCCATTTTTGTTTTTGATTTTTCCTGCTGGTCTTCACTTCAACAAGTATTTTCTGTTCCTCTAGCTGTGTCAGGCTGGTCTGCTTGTCCTTTCAAGTGGGAATGTCCAGTCCTCAGAAAGGTCTGGATGGGGCTCAGGATTCCACCTAAGGTCCTATACACTACCAAAGCTCTGCAAAAAGCCTGTTTCACTGGGCAAGTTCTAGAACCCCTTTTAAGTATTTCAATGAATTATAGGCTGAAGATGGGCTTAAAAGCTTTAAGTAATCATGTTTCCCGATATTCCTTTTTATCTCACTTGAGTGTCTATTTTACAATAGTAGGCAAGGAAAACCAATATTCATAAGACAATCAAGCATCCTAACATTGTTTCCCCTCTTTTACCCATTCAGACTATGTCTTGATCCTTGTATCACAGAGCCCTGTTGTTCCAAGGTTGAGCATACATCACTCTTTACCTCTGTCCCATTTAGCCCGTGCAAAGGTACGTAAGTGTTCCCCTGTCTACCTTGTTCTTCCATCCCATCTCCCCCTTTATATGTGTCTTTTTGAATCCCTATTTATATTTGAGAATATGGGCTGAAATTAAAGCACACATTTAAAATCAGTTTCACATGTATTATTTCATTTGGTCTTAAAAACGACTCTGAGGTAACCAAAGTGATCCACACTTTGATATGAGACTCCTGGTTTGGTGCTATAGGATAAGCACTGGACTGTGAACCTCAAGGTTGGCAGTTCAAACCCACCAGCCACTCTTCAGAAACCCTATACATTGCTGCCATGATTTCAAACCAGCTTGGTATTTAGCAATAACAACTTACACATACATATGTGTGTGTGCACATGTATGTATGCATATATTGCAATAGCTGTGAAGGATAAGGACTGGACTGCTAACAACAAGGTCAGCAGTTCAAGCCCACCAGCTGCTCTGTGGGAAAAGGATGAAACTTTCTGCTCCAGTAAAGATTTGCAGCCTTAAAAACCTTATACAGGGGCTACAAAGGCAAGAAGCTTTTAAGAGGGAGCCTAGATCCAGAGTGTATAGAGGAAGGTAGAATACAGAGTGTGTAGAGGAAGGTAGAGAGGAAGAGGGGCTGTGTGCTGACGACCAAGGGACATGCTTGCGGGGTATACCCTTTGGTTGTTTGATGATACGTGGAGGGGATTGTGATTTAAAAAAAAAAAAAAAGTCAGTGGTTCAAACCCACCATCTGCTCCTTGGAATTCCTGTACAGCGTCTCTCTGAGATGGAATCAACTTTCAATGGCACTTAACAGCAACAACTTCCCTAATAAACCCCATTACTGTGAGGGGAAAAAAAAAAAAAATAGCCCTATACAGGGTCACTGTGAGCTGGTAAATTTTTTACAGGACTCGAAAGCTTCATCTTTCTCTGGCAGAGCAGCTGGTGGGTTCTAACTGCCGACCTCGTGTTGTTGAGCCGTCTCCTGCTTATCCTACAGCACCGCCAGGGTTCCTCTTCATACAGGTTGTTGTTGTTAAGTGCTGTCAAGTCGATTCTGACCCATAGTGACCCTGTATAGGGTTTCCAAGGAGCAGCTGGTGAGCTTGAACCACCGACCTTGCAGTTCAAACGACTTTGCAGTCTGACGCATTAACCCACAGCACCACACCAGGACACATACAGGTAGGGCTACCAAAAACAAAACTCCCCACTGCCATCGAGCTGATCCACACTCATAGCTACCCTACAGGACAGAATAGAACTGTCTCTATAAGGTTTCCATGGCTATTAATCTTTACAGAAGCAGACTGTTGCAGCTTCCTTCCACAAGTGGCTGGTAACTTCAAGCCAGTTCTTTCTTTAGCAGCCACAAGCTTAACCACCATGCCACCTGAGCTCCTCTCACTTTAGATCTTCCTGGGAGCAGAAAACCTCAACTTTCTTCTGTGGATCAGCTGGTGAGCTCAAACTTTGGACCTTGTGGTCCACAGTCCAGTGCTTATCATATGGGCTATTGGAGTTAAAAATAACCAGATGTAATTTGTTGACAACCTGTACATCACTTCCCCTTTGCCCCCAGACCCCAAACCCACACCCTCTATAATCTTATGATGCAATTCTGAATTAGATTAGGCCAATTTATATTCATTCACCCTATAGCTTATTTCTGTCTCATGCTACACGTCTGGCACAGATTAGAAATGGATTTTTCTCCACAAGTATGGATTTGTGATTGTGGAGGCAGAGAATGAGAGTGATTGAAGGTTCCAAAC